AACTAAGATCATTCGGTTAAATGATTCGAACAACCTAACGTCTACAGATAGTCCCCAATAACTCTTCGTAACAAGAGGGTAACATAGACGGTAAATCGCGCAAATCACACAACACATAGACAATACGTTTCCGAACAAGTCTATTTCATGCGAGCCTAGATCGATCAACTCCTCCCCTTTCGGTTCTAAGAGTTGATTAATTATACTAGACGATTGTTAATCTACTAGTTCGTTGGATTTAAACACATCACACAAGAACGAATCATATTCAATTGGAAATCAATTGCAAATCGAAGTGTCACTCTTCGACAATATTAAACATTCAATGTACGAGAATTATAAACCTAGTTAAGAACAACTCGCATTGAGCAATCAACAAGCATGATAATCACAATTAAATTCTAACCATCATCATCATCCCCTATCCCTAGCGAAACGAATTAGCCACTCATATGAAATTCAAAATCAACACTCTCAACAATCAAAGCCATCATATTCATGGATTAGATGAAAAGAGAAACTTACGATTAATAGAAATCTAATATTCGAATCCAATGACAAAGCTAAATCCGAAGCAGAGAAAAGGAGTTTTCAATCTCCAAATCAAATCCAAAGTGCAAACGTATGAAAATGAATGAGTTTCTATAGAGAAAAAACGTAAAAATAGAGTCTGGAAGTTGAATTATGAACCCTAGGATCAAAATATGGTCTAAAAATCCCGTTCTCGAAATTCGCACCGGTAAAGTCGCGAGTCGCGACATTGCCTTTTCTTCGGTCGCGAGTCGCGACATCCTCGCGAGTCGCGCGTCGTTAAGATGTTCAATTCCTGGGTCTGGTCGCGACTCGTGCTAGCATACTGCACCTTCAGGCTCTGTTTTTCTCCCGAGTCGTGACTTTCATCTCGCGAGTCGCGACTTTGGTCTCACGAGTCGCGACTTTTCTCTCGCGAGTGGCGACTTTGGACTGCACTCGCGATTATTCTAACAATATTGAGTTTTTGTAGAGAAAATTGAAGGAAAAAAGTGTTTGGAATTGTTACTTAGGTCTGGGGGGTCGTTTTCATATATAGTGCTCGAAAAACGGAGCTAAAACGAGTAAAAACGGAGAAAAATAAAAACAGGGTCGAACAGGTCGCGACTCGCGAGTCACTCTGACGGGTCGTGGGGTCCAGCAGGGTGATCGGAGGCTCTGTTTTTCTTGCGACTCGCGAGATGGAAAGTCGCGACTCGCGAGAAAAACAGAGCCTCCGATCACCCTGCGCAACCCCGACGACCCGTCAGACTCGCCACTCGCGAGTCAACTCGCGACTCTCAACCTGTTCGACCCTGTTTTTATTTTTCTCCGTTTTTACTCGTTTTAGCTCCGTTTTTCGAGCACTATATATGAAAACGACCCCCCAGGCCTAAGGAACAATTCCAAATACTTGTTTCCTTCAATTTTCTCTCCAAAAACTCAATATTGTTAGGATAATTTTCTTCGCTTTTCTTTTTTTTCTCTCATGCTTGGATTGTTGGACACAAAGATATTTGGATTGAAATCTTGCAACTCTTAATCCGCTTGTAAGTTTTTCAATTCTATTTTATTATTGTTGATTGGTTTTATGTTCTTAATTCCATTTAACATGAAATTGAATCTAAGCATGAAGTAATCCATTCACCTAGGGTTAGGGATTTTGATTCTTGTTTTGAATTATGAGGAATGTGTTTTGCTCAATCTATACGAGTTGTGTGAATTATAGGGTTAGTTGATTGATCATCATTCTAACCTAGTTAATCGGCGTTTAGAACCGAGAGGGGAGACATCGGTCGATTTAGGCTCGTATAGAGTAGACATGTTCGTAAAAGTATTGTCTATGTGTTGCTTATTTGAATGAGTTTATCGTTTATGTTTGTGCTCTTGTTACGAAGAGTTATTGAGCATAGCCCTCTAGACGTGTAGGCTTCTTAAATCTCGTAACCGAACAAATAAGCGCTCAACATAGTTTAAGACTTGATGAGATTTTCCCGACCCCTAGAACTTCTTCTTTTTCTCTAGAAATTTAATTGTTATTTCTTTAAATTGCTTTTTAAGTTATAACTTGTTTTAGTTAATTCTCCAAATCAATCGTGATTAGAGTGTTTAGGACTTATTTTCTTTTCGAGTGTGATCAAGACCAACGCTAAATTCCGAACCGTCTTCCTCGAGAGATCGACTCGGGGAACGAATCTCTTGATTCGGTAGTCGATAAAAAAAATATAATTTGCTACAACACTATGAAACTCTCATTCATTCACCATCAAAGTTAGCTGCCTCAGCAGTGTATGCAGCAAGGTGCACACTTAACAAAACACCAATTTGGACTCAAACACTTGAAATCCACACTGGCTTTCCATGTAGGGATCTGAGACTGAGCAGTTAGATTAACATACATTTGTATGTTTGTGTGTGTATATATGCACATGCGTGTGCTTTAACACGGATTGGTTCGATTTCTCCAATTTGTTGAATTTATGTCATGCTAATTAGATCTGAAAAAAAAAAGTGAATAAATTTGAAGAATTTGAGACATGAGACTCAAATAGGGAAAGGTTTTAGGTTATATAGTTTTGGCTTGATAAAATAAAAGAATAGAGAATAATGTTTGTGATATGATCATTTCTGTTGGTATATGTGTCCTAGAGACAATCTTTTTGAGGACATATATACATGATCACATAATAATTATATTGAATTATAATTATGGTATTGCAATTAATTAAATAATTGTTTGGTTGTTTGCAATTTATTAATTAATTGCTCTCTTGAGTTAATACTGTCATTAACAGAGTGAAATGTTAATTGATAAAGTATAACTCTCAAATCGCCTCAATCGATGATCATTAAGAAAGGGATATTAACGATACGCGATAGATTGACATGTGGTCTGCATCACATTCTTCGAGAATATAGTATGTCTCACTGCTATGAATAATTGTTATTCGTGATGGACACATGGATACTTTGGAGTGTATTGACATGCCCTACCGACAAACCATTTGTTTATGTGTCTATGAGAGTATCGGTGTGTGGTGGTGTAATAGTCCTTTGACTTGAGGTCAATACGCAATTCATGTATAGAGTAATTTACTTAGACCTAGTCCAACGCTTACGCCCTTATGGGTAGATACGGGCTTGTGTTGGGTAGATCACAATATACATGGTATTGGTAGTTGAGCCAATATAGGATTCATTCCTCGAATATAGTTTCGAGAGAACACTCGTTTTCTCTATACTGGGTTGATAAAGTCATTGGCCAATGCACGTGATTATATTTGCAATGGTGTTCAAGTATAATTGATAAAATCAACCAGTGAGATGAGATAAAATGATTAAGCTGTTTGGATAGACACACGTTCAAATCCTAAGCTTAATCGAGTGGTTCGTGAATGAAGAGACTGTGTCACTATTGAATTCTACACCAAAGGTTTGTTTGCTTTGTCTATGTAAACGTACTTCATATTTTGAGTTCGTCCTTCGACGCAGTCTAGGAGTTTCGTAAGGATCATAAATTAGATTTATGTCAATATATGAAGGCCTATAGGGTCACACAATATGCAATCTATTTTCCGGCTAAGAGTGAATCGAGAGTGTTAAATATTCAATTAGATTGGAATATTTATTTTGAGTAATGAGATTATTTTCAATTAGATAGAAAATATTTATTTAAGTTAAATAGAGCTTACACTTAATTAAATCAATAATTGGATTGGATCCAATTACCTATTGGGCTAGGTTATCTTAGAGCCTATATAATTAGGTTTAACTTAATTATAAATAGGTGGTTATCTCTTCATTAGATGAGATCAGATCATTAGATGAGTAAATGAGATACGCCGTAAAACACAAAACACTCTCTGACTTTCTGATTGAGGATTCCTAGCGTCTTCACCAGAAATGATTCATTGCATTTGATCGTGCACCGGGATCTGGATTGCGTGGATACCATAGTTGAAGACAAAGCTTAAACTGTAAGTTTTCGTGTACCATTCACGCGATCTAGGATCGTATCAAATAACTATAACCGAATCTTCGTTGTTGGTAAGAAAATTTTAAAATTCCGCTGCATATACGATTGATTCGTACATTTAAAATCCAACAATTTCATGGCTATCTTTTTCTTTCTTTTTTCTTGATTTTGGAATTAGATATTTGCATAATTTATACTTAATAGTTAATTGTTACCTAATTTGAGTGACACCCAAAGTCAAATGCTTAAGTCTTAACTATCTTGTACGTGTGCTTGACATTACAGCTTAACTACCACCAATCACGTCGAGAAAGCACCAAAATAATAATAATAATAATAATTAAAAAAAAAAAGCACCAAAAATATTCCCTATCAAAAGACACAAAAAAATCTGGCCCTTTAGAACATTTTTTTCACCACTTAATATTGAAATTGTGGTTCGTAACGCTTAAGCTCAAAATAATCGTCGTTCCGAATTTTAAAATTCATCGGTTTTATATTTGTCAATTCAAATTACAATTCATATGGTATTATTTCGAGCTTGGTCCTTCATGGTTGTTCAGACGTGAAACAATCGGATATATTTTTCAAAAATTAAAAAATAAATAAATATATATTCTTAAATACTGATGGAGACGAGTTTGCGATGACTTTTCTGAACAAATACGATCGACTTCCGACGTTAATTTAATTATATTATTGCCTTATTATTATTATTATTATTATTATTATTATTATTATTATTATTATTATTATTATTCTATTTCCTTATTTATGGTATTTAGGATTAGGAATATAATTATTATTGAAAGTTATCTTGTGTGGCAAGATAAGAGTTTTAGGGTTGGAGGACTATATATAGATCCTTTCTTTATTGTAGCAGACGGTGAATTTTGAGATTAAGAATAAATCGATTGAGAGTTTTGAGTTTTACGAGAGAGTATCTCGTGTATATTTCCTTTCGTCCACGCTTCCCTACATCAGTTGGTATCAGCAGACCAGCTACGATTGTACGATGCCGCCAAAAAGACAGGATGCCGCAAACGAACAACGTGACGCAATCTTCCACGACCGATTTCAACAAATCGACGGCCAGTTTGTGCAATTGGAAGAGCGTTTCATGGAGAGGTTTGAGGGTCTTTCTTCCGGTATCGTAGATTTGCGTTTGGCGCTCAACAACGTGGTCAGGGAATTGCAGACGAACCGTGACGCCGACGACCGGGGCGTGCGCTGGGGGTTTCACGGTGGTCGTGGACTAGGTGGGGCGATCGCCACAACTGCCGTCCGGCGAAGAAGACGACGAGGACACCATATCCGTGGTTAACCCGTTCTCGGGGTTGCACCATCACCAGGACGAGGATGGCGGCTTCGACGGACAAGGTGGCCGTGGCTGGGAGTGCGGAGGCCATAACGTGGTCGGGCGACAATCAACGGGGAGGAGCCTTGGGCTTCGACCGAGACGGTACCGGCTTCGACCGAGACGATGATGACCAGCGTCGTCGAGGGAGGCGACGACCAGGGTTTCGGAGGTGATGACCAGCAGCACCGGGGAGGGTGGTTCGACCGCGACGGTGCTGGCTTTGATGGCGGCGATCTCCATCGTCGCGGCGGGGGCTATGGGCGCGTTGGACGAGGGATCCACGCCAGCGGACAACAGCGGCGGGGATAGGCCGATTCGGAGGATGAGGCGCGGCAGCATGAGTTTGGTCGGGCGAACATTGCCCAATTCCGACCAAATTTTCACCGCCCGGTGGATGAAGCCAGCGACTCGCGATGGGAGCAGAGTTTCCGGGTCGAGATTCCTGAATTTTCGGGCGGACTTGACGCAACTGAATTTCTTGACTAGTGGGCGGCAGTTGAGTCCGTGCTCGATTTTAAGGATGTGTTGGAGGATAGACGTGTGGGGTTAGTCGCAACAAGGCTTCGCAGTCGGGCCGCTGCTTGGTGGTTGCAACTCAAAGGCACGCGACAGCGTTTGGGCAAGCCGAAGATCTCGACTTGGATTAAATTCCGTAAGCATTTAGAACATGAATTTTTGCCCTTTAATTATGCTCGTTCGGTTTATTAGAAATTTCAAAATTTGAGGCAAGGCTCGCGTTCGGTTGATGAGTATACGGAAGAATTTTATTTATTGTTGACCTGTGTTGATGTGCGTGAGATGTCGGAACAGTTGCTGTCGCGCTATGTGGGTGGTCTACGTGGTCCAATCCAGGACATGCTCAATCTTTTCGTGCCCGATTCGGTTTCTGATGCGCATCAACGGGCTTTGTTGGTTGAGCACCAGCAGGCTCAAAAAACGGGCTCGTCTTGGCCGCCATTGGTGAAAGGGATTACGGGGAATGGGGCTTCGACACCAGCTACATCGACTGTTCAGCAAGGTGTCGGCACGACTTCGGGGGGACGTGAGGTTGGCCCCTCGTCTGGGGGCAACAGTCGGCTACCTGGCGCGCTTCGCTTCTTTGCCTGCGGCGAACCGGGACATCGTCAGGCACAGTGCACTAAGGCAAAAGAGGCGCGGGGTTTGTTGATTGAGGAGCTTGAGACGAGCGGTTATGATGGCCCTCCTATTTTCGATAAGGAGCCGGAGGTGCCCGTGGTGCATGTCTCGGGTGAAGTCGGTACGACATTGGTCCTTCGTCGGTCGCTATTGTCTCCCCACGTAGCTACCGAAGATGAGGGCTTGAGACGCCGACTGTCTGAATCCACGTGCATCATTAACGATCGAGTGTGTCGTTTTGTGATTGATTCTGGCGCCAGCGACAATGTGATCTCAAATGAGGCAGTGACGAAGCTTGGTTTGTTGAGTGAGCCACATCCAGATCCATATTCTCTTGCGTGGATACAACGGGCAAATGCTGCCACTGTCACTCGTCGAGTATTGGTGTCTTTTTCTCTTGGGACGGTTTATGAGGACAAGGTTTGGTGTGATATCGTGCCTATGGATGACTGACACCTTTTGTTGGGGCATACTTGGCAATTTGATCGGTCTGTGATACACGATGGGCGCCTTAACACATATGAGTTTTTACATGAAGGGGACCGCATTGTTCTACACCCTTCGGCTCACAGTTCAGTTCCTTTGTCACCAACATCGTCGACTTTATTCCTTTCTCGCTGCCAGACAAGTGAGGAGTTGTGTGGGTCAATGGATAGTATGTCTTTCGTTTTTTACGTCGGTGATTTTGTGTGGTATGTTTCCACGTCGGACGGTAAGATGGGGCCCTACGAGATCGTCGACAAGCTCTCACCGGACACCTTCCTTCTTCACTTGCCTTCCCATGTGCGTATGTCGGATGTTGTTCATATGACGCAATTGGGCCCTTGTTCATTCGGTGGCTTTTCTGGACAAATACGATCCACTTCCGACGTTAATTTAATTATATTATTGCCTTCTTATTATTATTATTCTATTTCCTTATTTATGGTATTTAGGATTAGGAATGTAATTATTATTGAAAGTTATCTTGTGTAGCAAGATAAGAGTTTTAGGATTGGAGGACTATATATAGATCCTCTCTTTATTGTAGCAGACGGTGAATTTTGAGATTAAGAATAAATCGATTGAGAGTTTTGAGTTTTACGAGAGAGTATCTCGTGTATCTTCCCTTTCGTTCACGCTTCCCTACGTCAAATGTCAAAATTAAGAATTTGTTCTTATATATTACTTCTATTAATTAAAATAAATATTGTGCATAGTTTTACAATTTCACCGAAAAATTTGATAAAAATCGAGATACAGTAAAACCCATCAATCTAGTAGACACGTGCATGGCTATTGCCTAGTATTTTTGCCCCATTCTATTGAAAAAAAAATGTAGCCTTAGAATAATAAATATCAAGTGAATATTTCCACAAATGTCAGCTATGTTGGAGAATTTGGTATTTCAATTGTTTTCAAAATGAGAAAGTAAAATCTAATAAAGTGGCCAGCANGATCCAACAATTCATAGGATGACATTTCACCATGATTTGATATTATAATTATCTTCACTCAATCAAAGAAATATGGAATTTTAAAATTTTCCCTTTCATTCCCAACCCCTCAAACCGTCCCCACCCCATTTATATTATTTTTTCCCAAGATCTATTAGCTACTTTCTCATACAAACTACAAAACTACACACATTAAACTTATTTTCATTTCATCCCAACGTAATTTTCCAATCAAAATCCGCTAACCTCAGCTTTTAAACTACCCCCAAAGGCAATGATTGCAAATTACAAAGGGCTTCTTGTCATTGAGCATGCGCTAATTGCTTTTATCTTTGGATACAAATTATATTATGACATAAAAATGATGGGTCCCTTGCTTAACATGTACAAAAATCATTAGCTAGAAGACTGAGGTTTGGAGATATGTTTTCAACTCATGACATTAAATTAATAATTAAAAATATATATGTACTCATCACATTTACTACATTTCTGAAAATCGAATCCGACTGGTTTGTCGAATCGGAATCAGTCCCTGACCAATTTTATTCTCTTGAAAAAAACTGGTTGCAAAAGAACCAATGATATTGGTTCTTGTTTTTATTTTTTTATATAATTAAATTAATATTTATTTATACATATTCAAATATTTTAAATAATTATAAATAATTATATCAATTAATTTAGATATTTGAATATTTAAAATTATAAATGTATTTAATAAAAAATAAAATTCTATATAGAATGTATCACTTAACCATATTACATATATTTAAAAATATTAATAAATTAAATATCGATCTAATTGCTGTAAATTATTAATTCGACTAATGAACTATTTGAATCAATACCTCTGTCAATTTTGATTCTCCAAACCTTGGTTTTTATTTATCCCTATAAAATTCAATAACAAAATAAAGAACTTTTACATATGAGGATAAAAAAACTACTACACAACTCATCAAATCCTTTAGACTTCCACTTAACAAATAACACATTAATTGACACCCAAAATTGAGCTAGACTATGACTTTTTAAATTTTCAAATTGAACTATTTCAATGTTAGGCTCATAGTCATATCAATTACAACCTACATACTATTACATACACCACAGACAACACCAAACACACACACAGACACTCATGAAAATCACAAGAAAGGAATCAGGCAATAAAAACAGTAACCTCAATAAAAGCTGAAAAAAGAAAAACATGATCCACCTCGATCGCCCCTCCTTTCTCTCTCCCAAAAAAACCATACCTTCAAAAAAATCCAAGCTCCAATCTTTTTCCTTTTAGAGAGAGAAAGTGCAAGAACTCGCAGCCCCCCATCTCAAATCTCATCACCATCTGCAATTTCTGTCTTGTGATTTTGCAACAAATTTCCAGCTGAAAGTGAAACTTCTTGTTTTCTGGGGCTGAAGGGTTTTTTGAACAGCTTAAAACAGAAAAAAGGGCCACAATTTCTTGAATTTCTACTGAAAAAAAAGATGAGGGAGGATGATTCCAATTGGTTCCCCAAATGGGAAGAGGAGCTGCCGTCGCCGGAAGAGCTCACGCCCCTGTCCCAAACCCTAATCACCCCCGATTTGGCCCTGGCCTTCAACATCTCTGCCCCCCACGCGCCGCCTCCCCCTCCGCCGCAGCAGCCCAATTCGTCCGAGCTCGACTCTCCGGAGCTGAGCGGGGCCGCCGCCGCGGCCCCCGGATCCGACGAGCCCGCGAGGACTCTGAAGCGGCCCCGCCTGGTTTGGACCCCGCAGCTCCACAAGCGGTTCGTCGACGCCGTGGCCCACCTCGGGATCAAGAACGCCGTCCCAAAGACCATCATGCAGCTCATGAGTGTCGACGGGCTCACCAGGGAGAACGTCGCCAGCCACCTCCAGAAGTACAGGCTCTACCTCAAGCGGATGCAGAGCATCTCCGCCGCCGGCGGCGCCGCCACCGCAACCTCCGGCGTTGACCCCGCCACTGACCGCCTGTTCGCCAGCTCACCCGTTCCGCCTCATTTCCTCCATCCGGGCCGGGCCGGATCGGAGCATTTCTTGCCGTTTGTGCCTCCGGCGACTCACCACCACCACCACCACCAGGCGGTGGCGGCAGCCCATCATCACCCACAGCAGCTCAGGAATTTTGGCAGCTCGCCGCCAAACGGGCAGTTTGAGCACTTGTTCTTAAGGCAATCACAGCAGCAAATGCAGAGAATGTCGAGTTATACCGAGGATTTCGAGTCGGCCAATGGGAAGAAAGTTCTTACTCTGTTTCCCACCGGAAACGATTGATTTACCCTTACCGATTAAATTTTTAGACAGGGGGAAAGGAAAAATCAGTATTGTGAATCTATTTATCTTTAATCTTGAGGCGATGGATATATTTTCTTTGCCGATTTGGTATTTACTTATATGTTCCTGAATGCTGCAAAAATGAGTTTATTGAACTTCCCCTTGTGAAAAGTTTCAATCTTTAGTGATTGCTGAGAATCTTGAGATCGATTTCTTGTCAAATTTGGTGTCTTGTTTAGATCTTGTTCTTATTGTAGATTGTGCTCAAAATTGATGTGCTTATAGGAATAAGTGGGTTTCATAACTGTAAGTCTGTCTTTTGTAAATTCGGCATATTTTGTGTCTGAATAGTAATTTAAGGTTTGAAACTCCATTTTCTTGATGTTTGGGGAAGATGAAATGTATCTAAAACTTTGAGTTTTATGATGCCTTTGGGTAACCATGAAGTTAGTCTCATGCCTTTTCATCATTGTTAATTGTTGGTAAATACCATTTGTCCAACTTGACGCGTGATAATATGAATCAACCGCTTGGTGATTTATATTTTTGTCATGGATGGTACAGAATTTTCTGGTCAGTGTTTCGAATTTCTCGTGTAGCAATTTAGTGGTTCTTTTTGCCTCTAAATGTGTCATTTGGTAGCTAACTATTGATTTTTTGGGATTCTTTTAGAGGAAAGGAGAATTCTAAATGTCTGATGCAGATTTTCAGCAGCATCTGCTTGATCTGTTGAGGCCCTCTTTAAAGTTTCCGTTAACTGTCGAAAAAAAATTACTTCCTCGTCTTTAACTGTCGTGAAAATCTTACGGTTCTGATTTAGCTAATGTTTGCTTTACTTGCACGTCCCATTTTCTGCTCGATTGCTTGTCATTTTTTGTTACAACTTGCACAAGTTTTATGGACATTCGACTGTATTTCTCATTTGCACTCGATTTTATTAATGTGCTTAATCTAACTCAAAAACGACTTGTGAAAGCTCGAAAATGTATAGCTCTTGATGATCTTATGTTCGACTGTACTCGACTTGATTATTATTCTCTAAATCAAAAGGGTGATTTTTAGTGATTTACTGATTTTGGGTCCTCTTTTTCTAATGTACCCAAATATTTGTTGAGAGCACTTATTATTACCTTGTCAAACAACAAGATCTGATTAATAATTAACTCAATCAGCCAGGAAATAAGTGATGTTTTTGTTCCCTAAAAGGTTTTTTCTCATGGTTTGCCAGTTCAAACTCGTGCAAAAATGCAGATCCTTTTGGTTGCTTTGGAAAAAACAAACAAATCATTCATTATCACTTGGATTGAAGATTAAGCAATAAAGTGGGGTTGAAAAAGCTTGGACGATGAAATAATATATTATGGTATCTGATCTGGCATTTGAATTATTTTCATAGGAATCATCTTTTCTTTTCTCTATTTTTTTCAGTATAAAAAAGGACAATTGCCCTTATCTACCATGTGCTTTGGATATGTTTATATAGGGATGTTAACAAAATCTCACAAGATTTGATTTGGTCAAACGTGATTTATTAGCTATTTTATTAGAATCAAACATTTTTAGTCTAGTATCAACAATTATTTTTTTTTATTTTATTTTTTGTTCCTCAAAAGTAACATTTTGTTTTCCAGTCATTGTTTTCCAAAACAACTTGCACACTCGAGATTCTCATTTTTTAATTTTTAGTCTAACTATTAACCTGTACAATCCATAGTATTTTTTTATCAACAAATTCATTTATGTTATGAAATGACTAACCTGACTTAAACCATTTATTTGGAATATCAAATATATGAATACCTCACAGATTGAATAACTAATTAAGCTCTTAAAAAACATCTTCCACCATTGTTAAAAAAACTTCAAAGCTATAAAGCCAAATTATCCCATAATCACTTCTTCAAATTGACCAAATGTGAATGCAGCTGTAACTTCAAATAATTATGTAAAACAACTCTAAAAGTACTCTNAAAAAAAAAAACACTGAAATAGTTACTTTCTAGTACAGACACAACAAAACCAACAAACTGTCAAAACATTAAAATCCCAGTCTCCCTACAAACAAGTTTACAAGAATAGTCGAAAAATCGCAACAAAACAGTAAACAAAACACAACACACCAAGTACCAACTGTCTTCAACACTATATTTTAACCTAAACAGAAAGATTTCCTAGGACCATTACATCTGTGTCTGGGAGTAATCGAAACTGAGAGGCTGCTGACAGGTAGGAGCCTGCAATCGGAAAGTCGAGTTATCAGATTAAATTTGTATAAAATGCAGAATTTTTTTACTATAAAATGGCACCGTAAGGAAATATAACAAAAAACTATGAAATTCATGAATGTTCGTGTAATTGGTCAATAGTACACTCTTTGACGATCACATAACAAAAAACAATATCAGGCCAGCCATAGCATAGTAATAGCTACCGAACATGATTACACGTCGAATTCACTTTACCTGGGTGAAAATGGTTATACAATTGATACATGCATTAAAAAGGCAATGATATTTTTAACGCCATAGCATTTTTAGTCTCAAGATTCTAACATTTTGCCTTTTGGTCCTGTGATTTAATATTTTCCTGCTATTTCAATCCTTTGAGTATAGAAATTGCAACAAATTTCTAAATTTACAGATTTTTATTAGCAATTTAAGTCCTATATTTTAAAATTCTGTTGCAATTTCAGTCATGTTTAAAATTGCAGCAATATTAAATCATAGGACAAAAAGGCAAAGAGTCGGAACATTGAGACTAAAATTGCTTTGGCGTTAAAGCAACAGGACTAAAAATGCAATTTTTGCCTANTAAGGCCTACCTGGAAAACCCCATTTCTTAAATGAGCATACGACTGAGCATACATCAGGGATTGAGTGGGCCACTGCATATACAAAGGGTCCCTCGAAGTCTGATTGAAGCCCACAGTACAATACGGGCTCATTAACGGGCCTCTGTAGTTGAGAGCAGGCTGAGGTGCATGCATTTGACCCAATTGAGGATAAACCGAATCATAATGGACAAATGGAGGGATGAAGCTCGGCATATTAAAAGGTGCTGGATTGAAACTCTGCACATTTGGCATGCTTTTGACATATCTGCATCATTTAACAAAAGAAAAAGGTTACATTCGCAATGGCCAAATGGAAAGAAAAAAAAATGTAAATGAATTATATGACATGAGATATTTTACAATAGACCATCAAAAAGAGGATGAGGCTTAAAACATATTTGAAGTCCATTATATCATCAGAGCTTGGTAAAAATATGGGATAATTACAAATGAGGTTCTTGAGTCTGACCTAGTTAAACTAAATACAAGTGTTAATCCAATTAGCTGGGATACTAAAAAAAGGTAGAGTTTGCATTTGATGCAAGAGCAGAAATAGAAAATATAGGTCGAATAAAACATCAACCATATACATTTACTATGTTTTCACTCACTATCAGAATTTGCACCATCAAGCCAATTTAGATGGACAAGATAAATGTTAAAAAAGGAAAAGAACATGTCTATCAAAATTAAAAATAACCCTTTGTGGTTTGGATTTTCTGAGAAAATACCACTCCAGTGGGGACACAAACTGCAAAACAGGAAAAATATCAAGATAATAAATAAATGCAACTTTTCGAAAATGGCTGCCACATTCCGTAATTTAACTAAATCTCTCGGGCGCATTTTTGGTTGTTAACCGTTAAAACAGATAAGCCTCTGCAGCCAAATCTAATTGCAATTCATTAATATTTCTGTTATCGAGATCCTAAAAATATTCACAAAATCGTGGAATTTCAATATCAGTTACTAAAACTAAAAGTATACCTGTCATAGCTTCGATCATAATCAGGGTCTGTTCGGTCCTTCTCTCTGTCCCTAAAAATCGCTACCCTCGAAGCACAACTATTTCCTATTTCCTTGATGCTTTTCTCCCCATCAACACTAACAATTCTACGAACTTCATCCTCACTGGAATTATTCAAACTCCTTCCATCCGAAACAGCTTGGACCGAAACATCCCCCAAATCAGAGCTACTAAAAATCCGGGCCCGGGCTCTGTCATAATCCTCCTTCCTCTCTTCCACAGATCTCACAGGGCTCCGTTTATGGCCCGAATCACTGGCATCGTTCGAGGAAGCTTTGGGCCTAGGCTTTAGGACAACCTTGATTTTGTCAAGTTTGTCATTTTCAGACTCTTTAGCTGGTACATCAGAAAGGGAAACAGAAGGGAATTTGCTTTCTGGTTTTCTAATGACCAAAATCCGTATACCATCTGCAGAGCTATCTTGAACCGTAGTCTGCAGACCATAGTGTTGAGCAACACGGTGAGCTGCAAGACGGAGGTAAGAAGTAGGGAAGTGTGGAAACTCGAACAGCTGCAAATCGGGATTCTGAAGGAATTTCTGGATATCGAGCTCCATACGTAAAACTGATAAAAAAATCAAGTACGTGAAGAAAAAACAATTAGTAGGTAAAGAAAATAACCAAATATATCATGATTGCTAGCAAATTCAGATCTCAACAATCACAGGGTTCGGGTTATATAGTTGCACTTTGGAGCTAAAGGGAAACTTGATATCAAGAAATGGAGAAAAAACAATGTTGAAATCACTGACGAGATAATTTTTTTGTGGTGTAATTATTGAAATAAATGTTATGCCGCTTGGTTTGTAGTGTCTTATCAGTTTGGTAAATCATTTAGTAACTAGTAAGTATAGAATTCAAGCAGAAGTTATTGCATGTCATGTTGAATTATCAAGACCATAAACAAGATTCAGAGATAAAAACATGAAAACATATTATAATGCTTATTTAAGCTAAACCACACCACATTCGCTATCAAATCAGCTTGATTTACTACAAAACATCAACAACATTCAACAAGAAACAAATCCCACCAACCACCGATAAATGAATAAGCTCTAACAATTTTAACCAACCGCCAATCATCCTCGGTTTATCAGCATTCACCATTTAAGAAAACCAACAAACTCAATCAAGCAAAATCCATCTTTCCCCACCACAGATCTACATCAATTCAGCAAATTAAAATCCCACAAGAAGTTAAAAACAAAATTCTGTTTACAAAATCAAGCCCCATCAGATCTAGGTAAAGCATCAAACTCCAAGCAGTTCAAAACCCTAACTCATACAAGAACTACGCATCCCAACTACACATACGGCAAAAAGAAAGCAACTAATAGCTGCCCAGCTCACAAAACAGAAAACCCCACATTAAATACTGAAGTCATATGAAAAGGTAAGAAGAACCCACTAGTCAATCGATGACGAGGGTTTTGAAGAGCCTCCACCAGAAACGGATCCACCATCGAGATGTACGCCGGCGGCGCCTCCGTCCGCTCGGAGGCGGCGGCGGCGGCAGTAGCGTTGACGTCCGATTCAGCTGCTGATTGGGAGGTCACATCCATCTCAGCAGATACAGAAATACTTGCAAACTTACAGATACTACTCTTTATGCAAAGAAGCAAAGGGGAATCGAGAAAAGGAGAACCTTTTCTCGAATTTCCTTTAGTTACCAATTGGAGAGAGTGGAAGATGATAACTGTGGTTGGATTTTATATGGAATTTTTTGTTCATTTGTTTTTAGTATCATTTCCATTCATTTTTTTTACTCTTCTTTTCTATTTTCTGTTTATTATTCTTTTTTTTTTCTCTCGTGAGAAAGCAGAAATTAGGACGCCACGAAAATAGATAGAAAATAGAAATACCTATGCTGATTTGTTTGAGAGTTTGCAATAATCTATTTGGACTTTGGATTATTTTTTATTCAGTAAAAAATAAAAAATAAAAAATAATAATGTATATGTTGCTTGCAAAATATATCTTTTCCATTCTTAAATTAGTGACTTGATAAAAATTGAAAAAAAAATAAAATGTTACAATGTATTTTTCATTAAATATCTCAATCACATACGTATGCATGTTTTATCAAATTCCGTGGGAACTTGCAGGCAATTTAGGGAAAAATAACAAATATCCCAACATGTACCGAATATAATCGAGCACAAAAACATAAATTATAATGTGAGATCTACAAAGAGTCCATATATATAGCTTACAAGGGTATTTCACAGTGTAGTTAACTTGATCTAACTTCAGAAATTAATGACACTAGCAAAAATATATATTTAAAAATGGTTATAGATTTCAAAACACCTATCTATTTGCAAAAGTCATTTTTAATTTCACCAGAGCATTCACGTTGTTTTGAATCTCATTTTATATATGTGGCATATATAAATTGATTTAAGTCCGAAATAATATAGACAAATTCAAGTAAATAAAACTCAAAAAGTATTAAGTACAAAAATAAAATACTAGGTCTAGAATACCTGTTAACTAATAAAAATGTATAATATGTTTACCATATTAAAAGTAAAATTAAATTATGAATAACTACTGACTATTCAGGTTTGTACTTGGGTCTAAAATAGACTCAAAATTGGACTTGGTCTCATTTTTATTGCCACATAAGATAAATCATATCTACTTTTAATTGAGTTGAAAGACATTTTTTCATAGACTAAATTTATTTTCTACATGGCATATGATATTCTTTTAAGAGAGCCAATGCATTATGGTTGCTCCCATAATTGATGGTGAGGTTTTGGGGATAGAAAAAAATAACATGATTTCATTCTCCAGTTTCTAACGAGTGTGATATGCAAATATGTGAGAATCGAAATATATATTTATAAATTCTATGCAATGAGTCAGGTTGGAAATTAAAACTCATAACCAAATGAATGTGACATGCAAATATGTAAAGAATCAAAAAATATATTATAAAATATCAATGCAATTAGTCAGATTGAAAGTTAAAAACTTACTCAAGACCAAAAAAAATTCATTGGTCAAATGATATTTATTTATTTTAAAGTTCACGCGTAGTTGGTGGGAGAAGTTTCTGGAATCTTGGCATCATAATCCAAGAGATCAAACTCAAATTTCTACAATATTTGGCACTCACACATTTTTGTATCTTTTGCTTTTAATTAAAACTGTAAATTTTTTTTATGATTGATCGGTACAAGACGAGTGTAAACGAGTTGAGTCGTGCTTAATTAAATAATAAAAATTCAGTTTTATTGTAGTCGAAGGTTTTAAAATTTGCATGTGACTTTGTTTTATTGTTTGATTAAACTGTGTTTGAACGAAAAATTTAGTATAGTTACCAACTGATTTTAGTATTTATGTTGTTTTTGTTTTATATTTCCAGTGATTGTGTCTGTTTTTTTGGTTTGGGTAGTTCGCCCCTGTGAGCCCGAGTGTCAATTTATTATTCTGATGGGATCTGACACTCGGGTATTATCCCGGTGGGATCTTTGTTTGTAGTTTTTGTGTTGTTTGTAGTATCCCGGTGGGATCGTTGTTTGTAGTTTTTGTGTGGTTTTTTAGTTAACTATTGTGTAGTCGCGAGTGTTTTTTTATTCTAGCTTTGCTAGCGTCGGGATTCTAGGCGGTCTTCGGATCTGTCTTTCTACTTTTCAGCCGTTGGCTGCTCTTATCTGTGTATTCGCACATTTGTACTTTTTTATTTATAATAATATCTGTCGTTTTGGGGAAAAAAAAAATCAGCTTAATTTATATATCCATTTAAAAAGAATGTTTATTGAACAGTTTGCTTAGACCATCGGACTCAATTCTAACCATGCTCCATTTGACGGAGTTCCATCCAATAACAACTTTATTTATTGATGAATTGGCTAAGAAGAGTTAGACAATTAATATTGTCAAATTTTTTATTGTTTTTGGATTGATGTTCCCCAATTTTGACAATTATCTATATATATATATATATAATTGCTAGCTAATACCATTTAATAAAACATTTAATAAATCATTTCGATTTCCCTCAAAAAACCGTTACAAACTTTGTCATTTATATCTCTCTCTATATTTAATTACCAACAATAAATTTAACAATATTAATTATTGTTTACCATCTTTTTATGTTACAATCTTCTATTATTATTATTAATCCATCATATATAATTAGTGTTAAAATATTTCATTGCACTTTTTTATGGTTAATCTATATATATATAATTACTAGCTAATAGAATTTAATAAAATCTATTTAATTTTACCTATGTGGAAACTTAATAATTTTCCCTCCAAAAACCGTTACATTTTGATGTATTTAATCTTTCATTTAATCATTAAATAATTAATACTCATCACTTCAAATTATAAAAATCATTTTAAACTTTTGATTAATGACAGTTGACCATATAATGTGTTGACCGTATAATGTGATTAGATGTTATCATTGTTGTTACATTTAATTTTTTTTTTTGAAAATAAAAATATATTTGAAATTTCTAAATAAATAATAAATAATTCACAAATAAAAGACGTACCAAAATATACATTACATCCAATCAGATAAACGCAATTTAAAAAAAAAATATTCCAACTCTTTTAATTGTAAATTTGGTATGCAAAAAAAGTGAAAGAAAAATAATTAATCATTATATGTACGGACTCACAACAATTTATTTATATTTGTGCAAATGCACAAGTCGAATACTAGTGTTTATCAGATTTTGTAATCGTTAGCGGATTTAAATTAATGATTTGACCAATCAAATCTACTAATTAATTTGATTGGTAATAAATTTATTTAATTCGTGTTTAAAAATAACTATAAATGCAATTTTAGAAAAAAGTTCAAACGAACAACGTTATAAGTAAAAATGATCCAAAAATAAGCAATACGGTTTCAAAAGTTTGTTGTTTAGCAAATATTTATTTGACAAACCATCAATGTTATGTTTGATAAATCTAGCTGATAAGTTAGTTGATATGTGATAAATGTTACGATCATGAAGGAGAAAAAGGGGATTCAAGGGAAAAAGATGGAAGCTTTGACAGAAGGAAACAGTGAAGGGACCCTAATTCAGATGAAGAATTGGAGAAGAGAAATGTGAGAGACGATGGGTTGAAAGAGGATAAAGACATGTTGGGCGCTTTTGGGCCGATAAATTAGTTAATTGGGCCATTATTATTATTATTATCAGCAGGATGAGAATAGTTATGTATTGGGTTAGTGTTAGTAAGCCCATGTGGCTAAGTTATATCTATCATTATATAAAAAGATTAACCTTTTTATAAATTTAGAAACTTTTTCCCGCCAAAATCATTAAATATATTCTATATATAGTAATTGTTGGACAAATCTGAATAGGCAAAAAAATCCGCTCATTAATTGTGTAAAGATTTGTTTCTCTTTTACCTATTTCTTAGTTTATTGTTTTAACAATAAATATTTGTTTTTTTTTCCTATTTTTAGTATAAATCTACACGAGTTTATCTCTTCTGTTACAAAATCCGATTGCATATGATTTTAGGTGTTTAGAAAATCTCATCTCTTATCTATACAGATTTGAAAAATAAAATAAAATAGAAATCAATTCATAATTACTACTAGAAATCTATTATCTACTTTAAGAAGCTAATTATCATCGGTCTAATTACTAATATTTTTACAAATATTCTAAGCTAACCATACAAAAAAGTATAATGATAATTTTGAAATGGTGTGTAATCAAATTCTTTTATATTCTCTTATACAAAATCATTTTACATTGTTTGACCCCGAATCTTTAATTTATAATTATTAAGTATTGTTTATCCTCTTCTTTTATTTATAATTTTTTTTTTCTCTTTTTAAATACGATCGTTTTCACTTCTGCCATTGACTCAAACTCGAGGTCTATTTATAATATTATTAATTTAATATTATTCCCGTGCATCGCACGGGGTACACACTAGTTTATTTTTATGTGAGTGGTAATTAGAGTGGTCCCAACTATGATTGTAATGTTTAAAGTGACGTGAGGCATGTGAAAATGGTAACAAGAAATTACAATCACTTTCTCTCTCTTTTCTGTTAGCATCTCCCTCCTTTCTCTCTCTACTTTCTCTCTCTAATTCCTTCCTCCCTTTCTATTTCTCTCAACCCTAATTACAGAGCAGTTTTCCCATATTCACGTAGGGAAATCCTGGAAAACGCAACAATNTTTTTTTTTTTTTGCATACCAGTATCACTATCTAAATTCAACGGAGGTCACCTCTCCGAACATCACCCAAGAGAGGAGATAAAAAAAGACAGGAGGCAATCCTTCCAAAAGGAAGATCCTGTCAACGACATAGCCCTACTAGCTAGACAATGGGCAACCGAGTTCAAATTTCTACCAATATAACAACAAGACTCACAGTCTAAAAAAAACAAAAGCGATAATATGTCCGCAAAAATATGATGCAAAGGATCGTTTGGCGACATATCTAACAGACCACAAACAACCGTCAGAGCGTCTGTCTTGGCATATTGAATCGAGAATCCTGCATCAAGCCCAAAACGGAGGCCGAACCTGAGGGATAGGGCTTCGGCTGTAATTGATGAGAAAGAGCCCGAAATATGGTTGTAAAAGCAGTCCAACACCGAGTCGCCTATCCACCCGCCTAATCCGATTCTCGAATCATGGACCGCCACATCGCAGAATAACGTGATAAAATAGTTGATAACATTATAAGTGCATCTTGAGTTTATAGTTGATGCCTTATGACTTATGATAGATAAAAATGTTTGACAACATTAGTTAGACAAACCAAATGACATCAAATTCTCAATGAGTTTATTAAAAAGCTACCCATGGAACCTCATGAAATAAACTCATTTTTTTTTTGTTTTTTTAATCAAGCCAAACTTATTTGAATAGATAAAACTTATAATTTAACCAAATAAACTATAAACCAGCTTATGATGTTTACCAAACACACTCCATTTGAATTCGTTGCTCAAACCAATACAATTGCGTTACACTAATACAACATCATGTTTGACTGCTAGCTTTTGGCGAATAGCTAATAGCTGATTGTATCAGTGAATAGGTGATAGCGAATTGTATTAACAATTTATAAATAAGGTTTTGTAAATAGCGTATTGCATAGTTATTTTAAAAATCTTATGTACACATTATCTTTTCAAAATGCTCATATATTAAGTTTTTTGATAATAGACTTTTTGACTAAAACGCTCATATATTGAACTTTTTAGAATTAGTTTTTTAATTTAAGAAAATCCAATAAAATTAACATATACTTAACAAACTAATTAAAAGTTTGATCCGTCAAATCTCAAAAGGAATTTCAATACGCTAACATCCAAAATAGAGTAGCTATCCCCACTTGATTGTCAAACAAGAGACTATTGCCAAACACACCTTAATTATTTTGCTTCTCCAATAACCCATATGAATTAATTTCCCTTTTCCTTAAAACGCGTTGGTTGCAAAATTATAATTGAATTTTTCAGACCAAAATCTTCGCAAAACTGAAAATCACACATTGATCAAATTTCCCCTTTTCTTTTAGAGCCCTAACGAGCTGGATATCGTCTCTCCGTCACTTCTCCCCGACGACGGAAAAATAATGGCCGACACGACGGTGATCGCCGTCGATCATCCGCCGCTTACGATCGACGACTACGATTCGGGGCTCTCAGTGCCACCCTTCGACACCGATTTCTTCTCTCAAGGCGCTCAAGGCGACGGCCAAAACGACGCCGTCGTCGACGACCTCGATTTCGATTTCTCCTTCGATGATCTCTACCTTCCTTCTCCCGATGAGCTCGACGACCTCCTTAACCCTTCCCAAATTCAGGAATTCGCTGCGCATGTGGATCAATTTCCCGTCCATATTCTCGGTGAGGGCTGTAATTTGGGCTATATTAGCTCCGATGACGCCGGAATTTCGAATTCCGGTTCACCTGTATTGGAGCCGCATCAAATTCCCGGCCATCTGAGTGTGCCGTCGCCCGAATCGAATGGATCGAATCATGAAACCCCAGAGAATTGCAACGATGACGTGAAAGTGACGAGTTGGCCTTCCCCTGAATCTAGGGGATCGGACATTTGCGGCTCCAATGTCTCCAAGGAGTCAAAAAATCGCATCAACCGGTCAGTGGATTTCTCCCCCAGCCCTAATAATTCCATGTCCAATGAAACTGCTATGGCTAATCAGAAGGCCAAGTCTGAGGAGCTTTCGAAAATGAAAATCCGTAGCTCCTCGTTGAAAAGGAAAAAGGACAGTGAGAATCCCGAGAATAGCAACAGCAGCAACAACAATGGCGTGTTAAGTGAAGAAGATGAGAAAAGAAAGGCGAGGCTGATGAGGAACAGGGAGAGTGCACAGCTATCGAGACAGAGGAAAAAACACTATGTTGAGGAGTTGGAGGAGAAAGTGAAGATGATGCAGTCTACCATTCAAGACTTAAACACGAAAGTAGCTTACTTTATGGCCGAAAACACCACTTTGAGGCAACAAATGGGAGGCAATATTTCGGCTCCACCTCCCGGAATGTATCCTCCTCCGTCCATGATGATGTATCCATGGATGCCTTGCCCGCCTTATGTGACAAAGCAAGGATCTCAAGTTCCCTTAGTGCCGATTCCCAGGTTGAAGCCCCAGCAGCCGGCACAAGCGCCACTGAAGGCCCCCAAGAAGGTGGAGAACAAGAAAGGCGAACGGCCAACAAAGATTAAGAAAGTTGCTAGTGTTAGTTTCCTGGGTATACTCTTTTTCTTCATGCTGTTTGGGTGCTTGGTCCCGATTTTCAACGTGAGGTATGGAGGAGTGAGGGATACATTGACAATCGGGGGAAGTTATGATGGGGTTTTTGAGGAACATCATAATGGCAGGGTTTTGATGATGAATGGAACCAGGAGTCGTGATAATGTAACCGAACCACTTGTTGCGTCACTGTATGTGCCGAGAAATGATAAACTTGTGAAGATAGATGGTAATCTGATTATACATTCAGTTCTGGCGAGCGAGAGGACCGTTTCTTCTAGTGAAGACACTGCTATTGCGGTTCGTGGAGGGTTGAGTCACACTGTTCGTGTTCCAGAGCTAAGGGCTATTGGGTCTGGCTCGGCAGACAGGGTCGAGAGGAAGCTGAGCGCAACTGATGGCAAGATACAACAGTGGTTCCAGGAGGGGCTTGCTGGTAATTATTATTATTATTTTTTTTTTTTGGCATGTCTTTGAGTCTTTTGAATGCATTATGAGTGGGAGCAAATTATTATATATAAAAAGGTTAAAAATTTGCACCCTGTCAAAAATAGTGTCATGTCGTCTAGGAAATGAATCTCTCAGTTCTTTAAGGGTTATGTGCTTGTTTTGTTCGGCTTCTTAAGAAAGTAATAGGAGCTAAGAGGTTAGTTTCCTCCATTAAAGGGTTGGTTCTCATGGATTATTTGCACTCTTAGTTCTCAATAAAGTAATAGGATTGTGAAGGGTTGGTTCTCGTGGATTATCTTGCACTCTTCTCACACGTTATCTATTAAGTTATGTTTGGTAAACCTAGTTGCTAAAGCTGATAAGCTAGCTTATAACTTTTAAGTGAATTTCGAGCTTATAGCTGATTGCTTATGACGTATGGCTGAAAAGCTAGCTTATATGATAAAAGTGTTAGTAAAATTAGCTCAAGCTAGCTGCAATAAAAATTTTAATGAGCTTATTTGAAAAGCTAATCAAGGAAGCTTATGAGATAAGGTGAAGCTTTTTAAAATAGTTCGTCCTACCAAACCAAGCTTATTTGAATTCATGAAAGCTTATAAGCTAATCAAATAAGCTATAAGCTAGTTTATATGCTTACCAAACACAATAGTCATTGCTCATTTCTCTAGCTGAATTTAGTCTTTACCTTTTTGCAATTAACGATCGTGGATAGATTTGCCTAGGGACTACTTGCCTTGTTGATTCTCGTGGATTATCTGCACTTTTTTCTCACATTATTCATTGATGAATAATACATATAGTCATTGCTCGTTTTTCTTGCTGAATATTAGTCTATACCTTATTGCAATTGATGATAGGTGGATTGATTTGCCTAGGGACTATACTTGCCTTTATAAAGGTTTTGTACTCTTATTATTACCACAATTATTTCAGGGCCAATGTTGAGCACCGGCATGTGTACCGAAGTTTTCCAGTTTGATGTCTCGTCAGCTTCAGGAGCCATAGTCCCAGCAGCTGCAGCCACAGCCACAGCCACAGCCACAGCCACACAGAACATAACCCAAGGGCATAACCGTAATTCCACTCAACTTACCCGGGCCGCCAAGAACCGAAGAATCCTTCGTGGCCTCCCTATTACACATTCCGAATCCACTCACAATATTTCTAAACGAAGCTCGGGAAAAAAAAACCCACACGAACACGGATTGAATGGAAATAATACCGTCTCACCTATGGTGGTTTCGGTTCTTGTCGACCCTCGAGAGGTCGGTGGTGATGCTGACGTGGATGGCGTCATCAAATCGAAGTCCCTTTCCCGGATATTTGTGGTCGTGTTGATCGACAGCGTTAAGTACGTTACGTACTCTTGTGGGCTCCCATTTAAGGGGTCCCCACATCATTTGGTGACTACTTAGATTAGGTTTAGGAGTTGAAACTTGAAAGTACTGGCTGAAATAAATTTACTTAACTTGGTATAATTGAAATTTAGTATTTAACCATCATGAATTTACTTATTGGACTTGTAAGTTGTGACTGATGCTGCTTTGTGTATTCGACTGTAATTGATATGATGAGCCTATGGTAATTCTGTTAACTTTTTTACCTGCCTGAAATACTTGGTGAGAATCAACTTATTTACAGTTTGCTGTTCATGTGCTTATGTGGATGAACATTAGTGCTTGTTAAATTGAACGAGTTCGGCTTGTTAAGGTTCGAGTTTGGCTCGAGTTCGAAGCCTTAACAAGTTGAGCTCGAGCTCATTTAAAGCTCGTTTAGTTGACGTGCTGCGCTCGGCTCGATGAAGCTCGAAAAGAAAATTATTATATAATTTTCTATACTTCGGCTCAGTAAAGCTCGAAATTGGCTTATTAAGGATCGAATTCGACTTGTTAATAGTGACAAACGAGTTGAATTCGAGTTCAATTTCTGGCTCGTTTTTAGCAGCTGATTAAGGGCTCTAATAGCATTGGTCACTTTAACTATGTGAGACAAAATTTTTATGTTATAGTTTCATACAGAATTGTTTCTAGACTAAATTCTATATCCACTAATCTTTTTAAATGGCATTTTATTTATAACTTACATCAATACATTTATGACGCCGTGACATAAATAAAAAATTGCTTTTGGAAGCACACGTAAATATGTAATGGCAGTAATGAACATAAAAAATTACGTAATCATTCTAAATCTAACTTATTTATACAATCTACTGTCAAGAAATTAATAAATAAGTAAATATTTAGAAAATTTGAACCATATTTTATGTTCTTACTTACAATAAATGGCAAAAAATATGAACAGAAACAAATCTTAAACCAAAAATAGCTATGAAAGACAAGGCAAAAACGACATTTGGATTGGAGACTTTTGGACTTTGTTTATCTTTGCTTCTAAGTGTGAGAATGTTTTTTTTCATTTTTATGCCCTTTTCCCTAAATTTTAATTATTATTAATCGCCATCAACCGCACCTTCAATGGCGAAGCCAGCAAAGTATTTTCGTCGCTGTCCTACATAAAGAGCATCGAATAAACAATTACAGAAAACACAGACAGCCAAAGAATCGAAGAGGAGGAAGGTACGAGGTTTCAATTTACGACGCGCACTTGAACTGAGATAAACAGGGGAAAGATTATTTTTTTAATCGGGTTCGTTTCTTGAATTTGATTAGAATTGAGCTCCAAATTTTTTTCCCTTTAGCTGAATTTGTCAATCTATTTGTTTCTTAAATCGTGTATCTCTGTCTCCCTGCATTTCCCATTTGATTTTTGCAATTATGCGATGAATTTTGTTGTTGGTGATTGTAAAGTAGCTGCCTTTTTTTTCATTTTACGAAAACCCTTTTGCTTGGATTATGTGTATTTGTGTTGTTTTTACCTCCTCATGATTTTCATCTTCGTTGGATTTTAAATTTCAAGAATTTGGGGGAAAAATGAACAGATCACAAAAGTGAGTTGCTATGTACACCAATAAGTTGATGCTATTGATGTTGTTTTCATGCTATTTACATTGTTCTAGTTATTATCAACTTTCAGTAAGGAAGCCATTGTAGAATTATAGCTGCAAATTCAATTACCTGTTTAAGTGTTTTTCTCCTCCATGTTATGCTTTCCATTTTTAAGTTGTTTGTTAATTTCAAGAATCTCCATGTCATTGTTTTACAGTATCATATCCATAGATTGTGTCTATACTGTGAGAACTTCGAAAAAAACCACCAAAATGAGCTCGAAAACCAAGAAGAAAACCGTGGCCGATAATGGTGACACTGGCGAAGACTCTGTCCTAGCCACTATGGTCAGCAATGGCGAGGACCTCGGGCCCATGGTCCGTCTCGCCTTCGAAACGGGCCGGCCCGAATCCCTCCTCCACCAGCTCAAAGGCCTCGTCAAGAAAAAAGAAGTCGAAATCGAGGAGCTCTGCAAGCTCCACTATGAAGAATTCATAATCGCAGTCGACGAGCTACGCGGCGTTCTAGTCGATGCCGAAGAGCTCAAATCCGAGCTTTCGAGCGATAACTTCCGTTTACAGCAAGTCGGGACCTCTCTACTCTCCAAACTCGAGGAGCTTCTCGAATCCTACTCGATCAAGAACAACATAACCGAAGCCATTAAGATGTCGAGAAACTGCGTTCAGATCCTCGATTTGTGTGTGAAGTGTAACGGGCACGTCTCGGAAGGCCGATTCTACCCGGCCCTCAAAGCCGTCGATCTCATCGAGAAAAATTACCTTCAGAATAATAATATTCCTGTCCGTGCTTTAAAGATGCTCATCGAAAAACAGATACCCGTTTTAAAATCCCACATCAAGAAAAGGGTTTGCAGTGAAGTTAACGAGTGGCTCGTTCACATAAGGAGTGACGCTAAGGATATCGGCCAAACCGCAATCGGTTACGCATCGGCTGCTCGCCAGCGCGAAGAAGACATGCTGGCTCGTCAGAGAAAAGCCGAAGAGCAGAGCTGTTTGGGTCTCGAGGATTTGAGCTACACGCTCGATGTTGAAGAAATTGACGAGAGCTCGGTTTTGAAATTCGATCTCACTCCCCTTTACCGAGCTTACCACATTCACGACTGCCTCGGGATACAAGACGAGTTTCGCGATTATTACTACAATAACCGGTTTTTACAGCTGAAGTCCGATTTGCAGATCTCGTCCGCTCAGCCTTTTCTCGAGTCTCACCAGACGTTCTTATCTCACATTGCGGGGTATTTTATTGTCGAGGATCGTGTCCTGAGGACAGCTGGCGGGCTCTTGTCCCCGACTGAGCTCGAAACCATGTGGGAGACAGCTGTCGCGAAAGTCACCGCCGTTTTGGAAGAGCAGTTCTCGAACATGGACTCTGCGAGTCATCTTCTTTTAGTGAAAGATTACGTGACGCTTTTCGGGTCGACTCTCAGACAGTACGGTTACGAGGTGGCGCCTATTCTCGAAACCTTAAACAGTGGCCGGGACAAATACCACGAGCTGCTTCTGTCCGATTGTCGGCAGCAGATAACCGATATTCTCGCTAACGACAAGTTCGAGCAGATGGTGATGAAGAAAGAATCGGATTATCAGTCGAACGTGCTTTTATTCCATTTGCAGACTTCAGATATAATGCCCGCTTTTCCGTATATAGCGCCGTTTTCGTCGATGGTACCTGACAGCTGTCGAGTCGTGCGCTCGTTTATCAAAGACTCGGTCAACTACCTTTCTCACGGAGCCCAGATGAATTATTTCGATTTCGTTCGGAAATATCTCGATAAGCTCCTGATCGATGTTCTGAACGAGGTTATACTTAAAATAGTCCACAGCGGCAAAACGGGAGTCTCTCAAGCCATGCAGATAGCGGCTAATATTGCTGTTTTGGAAAAGGCGTGCGATTATTTCCTCCAGCACGCGGCGCAACAGTGTGGGATTCCCGTTCGCTCGATCGATCGGCCGCAAAACGGATTAACGGCTAAGATCGTTCTGAAAACGTCGAGGGATGAGGCGTATCTCGCTCTCTTGAACCTGGTCAACTCGAAACTCGACGAGTTCATGAAGTTGACCGAGAGCGTGAACTGGACTTCGGACGAGATTTCTCAACACGGGAACGAGTACATAAACGAGGTCATCATATATCTCGACACTGTCATGTCGACAGCTCAGCAGATCTTGCCACTCGACGCTTTGTATAAAGTTGGGAGTGGGGCTTTGGATCATATCTCGAATACTATAGTCGGGGCTTTTTTGAGCGACAGTGTTAAAAGGTTCAATGTGACAGCTGTCACGAGCATTAATAACGATTTGAAGGCTTTGGAGTCTTTCGCGGACGAGAGGTTTCACTCAACAGGTCTGAATGAGGTTTATAAAGATGGGAGCTTTAGGGGCTGTTTGGTTGAGTCGAGGCAGTTGATAAACCTTCTGATGAGCAGTCAGCCGGAGAATTTCATGAATCCAGTGATAAGGCAGAAGAATTATTACGCGTTGGATTATAAGAAGGTTGCAAGTATTTGCGAGAAGTTTAAGGACTCGGCTGATGGGCTTTTCGGGAGCCTCTCGAACAGAGCTTCTAAGCAGAGCGCGAGGAAGAAGTCGTTGGATATGCTGAAGAAGCGGCTGAGGGACTTCAACTGAGAGGGGAGGTTCTAGAACTTTCTTAGACGATTTTTAGAGTTTGAGTTTTTTCTTGCGTTGATTTAGGTTTTTATATAATTGTGTGGATTGTTTGTTCTTCGTTTTATGTTACTATTCTTTATCAGAGCGTACGTAGCTCCGCATGGATTTTTATTCTTTCTCCAGCTATTAGCTAATATCAAATCTTTCTTCTTTTCTCGTTTGGGCTCGTTTTGGATGAGCTTGTTTTCTCCAGATAATATCAGTTGATAGTCTAGTTTAATCAATTTTTACTTCCCATATTTTTTTTAATAATGGGATTGTTTGTAAGAACTCATCGAACAAGTAATTCGCAGCTCTTGAGATGAAAAAAACTACTCATTTTCAACAGCTGAGAGCAATTATCTAGAGAGTAGCAACATGTCCAAAATGTGTGTCCAAAATGTGTCAAAATTGCTCAGTTTTTGTGACTGGAAAATCCAATTATGTTAGTGTTAATTTGACTTTTATTGTTAATGATAGGTTTGCTCTATACATAGGAAATCCAATTTTTGATTGTTAGCTTATAATTGGAAATGGTATTTTTTTTAAGTTAAATAGAGTTACAAAAGACCAAGTCCCATGAATACATTTTTGGCTGAGAAAGTAATATAAACGAGCTTACAACATGTTTTATGTGGAAGTGGATGTTTAAAAAGGGATTGATCAATCATAAATGTTTAAAAAATGATTAATCATGAAATGTTGCGATAACATCATCTCCTTTACTAATCTCAAGCCTCAACTTCTAATAAATTTTACTAATCATAAAATGATAACATCATCTCCTTTACTAATCTCAAGCCTCAACTACTAATAAATTTTACTAATCATAAAATAAGAACAATACGAAAGTTCCAACACAAACCATAGAACCTCATACAGTAAAAACCGAACAATTTGAAGTTGTGCCCCCAAATATACCCAACTCATACAACTGTACATACGTTTTTTACTGCAACATAGGATTTACTCATTAACAATCCTCATATCCCCAGAAAGAGCACCAACACCGGACAACGTTTGTACTGTCGTAAAACCCCCCGAGTTTAAAGTCAACACGAGAACAGAAAACGGGCAAAACAAAAGTCAACACACAAATCGGAAAGGACGGTTTGGTCTATTCCCAATCCCTTTTCCTCCCACACTACCAAATCTTTTATCTACACTGCATTGCATTTTCATGTGGGCTGTGTGTTGAGCTACTCTTTTGCACCAGAAAAAGGAAGAAAAAAAAAAAAAACCATAAATTTGATCAAACCTCAACAAGAAGATCTTCATCTTCATCCCTTTTTGTTTACGCGCAAAAACTCCATCATTTTCTTCTGTTTTTTCTTCTGCTCGAACGCGTAAGGCAAAATCCCACTGAATATCTCCAAAAACGACTTCCATTCCTCGTCTTTCATGTCACCAAACGAAACCCCTTTATCAGTCGAATCATCAAATAAGTCAACACACGAGAATCTTGGTCCTTCACTCAACCGAGACTTAGCATTTAAGCACAGCTTCTCTAACGAGCTTCGATTTCCTCCACCCTCACAAAAATCTCTACTCATCATTTCGCCTATATCCGCAAGGCACAATCCATGACTCGCAGCTCGCTTCAAAAACACAGTGCACACAATTAGAACCCGAATAGAACATTCCTTTATCAAAGGAAGCTCCGACCTCAAAAGCTCCGCATCTTTATACGGGTCGAGACTATATATATACTCAGCCTCCGCCTTCCCAAAGGGAACCGAGGCCTGAGGCCAATGCAGCCACTCAAAATACGGGTCACCAAGAAACTCGGGCAAGCAAAACCCATGATCTATAGGGACTAAATCTCTCTTCCCCGAGCCTACAAGAATATTCCCCGCATGCCTGTCCAGATTCATCAGCCTCACGTCAAGTATGCCTATACGGTGCACGCTAGGGATCGAAAAGCCCGACGGGCCAAGATCTCCCGCATCCGATTCGTGGCCCACAAATTGCTGAATGGACACGATTTTGCAGTTTGGGCCGAACTTAAAATGGAAGAATTTAACCAGAGCAGTTGGCGGCACTCCCGAAAACCCGTCGTGGTCGAGTAGATAAGCAGCAGACTCGCGGGGCCCGATCTCGCCTGACCAGATTTGGCTTCTCGTACATTTCGGGCTTTCAACGGGCTTGACGACAGCTACAGTGTGACCATCTTGGGCTTGTAGAAAGTAGGCCCCACCAAGCCCACCCAAGGCCCGCTCGAGGCTGAAGCCATCAACCGTGGCCTTTGCAACCTCGAGGATCAGGGCCCGAACTGGTTGGGAGCTTGGGCCCGCGATGAGCTCAATTCTTGAATTGGTCGTGGAGCTTTTGTCTGTATATGAAAGGCAAGGGGTCGAGAGGCTTCGGTTGATGTAAGTCGAATTGAACGAGTTTTGAAGTGACTGATGAGGCGGCAGCTCGGGTGGGTCGAAATCGAGCATTTTGAAGTCGAAGTGGGGGAAGGATCGGCAGTTACATCTTCTGGGCCGGGTTAGTGGTGGGGCCTGGTGGGCTTGATCGAGAGCTATGGCCATTTTGAGGATTGTTGTGCATGCTATGGGTTATTTTGCTCTGTTGGATTGAAGTCTATATATGGAGATTAGGCAATCACATTTCTGCAGTATCAAAATAAGAATCATTAATATCAAGTGAAGGATTTGGATTATTCAATGAAAGAAAGGAGATGAGTTAAAACTTAAAATATGCAGATATAAATATGTAACTGAAGGAACATACTACTTGAAGTTAGGAAGGATTACCCGCAAAAGTCCCGATTAATAGAAATGTGGCGCCAATCTCCGTAAGCCTACAATACAAACATAAAGCTCCATAATCTCCTTATCTAATCAGTTGATCTGACTATCTCTTTGCAAAGTCTTTGGACAAACATTGAGGAAGTTGAAAATTTAAGAAATCTTAATGAACTAACTAAAATGTCAGTTAAGAAAATAAACAAATACATAAATGACGAACGTTGAGTTATTCTCTGAAGAGATATTATGAGAAAAACATAGATTACCAGCACACACCTATGCTTAAGCTCAACAAATCCACCAATTATGTCTGATTGATCTTAAAGATCAAAGACCAAAAGCCTTAAGTACAAAACTTAAATAACATTTCTTATGCAGATAATACACAGCAGAGGCATTGCAGCAAGTCAAGTAAGATACGGAGCTTCCGATACTATTTGCCTCTTGAGAGAGGAAAATAGTATACGGCATAGAGTTACTTCATTCGTCTCTGAAGAGTGTATTTTAACCCAACAAAATATGCACCATTGCAAAAGGAGAAACTATATAATTGGGATAAAAGCACCCGAAACTTGTAAGATTTCAGAAAAGGGGATAGATAAAACTGAAAAACTTGGTTACAGTAATTCATAGATGCTCACCGTCTAAGGTATTTGTTCTTCGCTCTGGCGCTTGGAAGTTGCCAAAATAAACTGCACGACGATAAATCTTTTCTTAAGTATTTCCCGTTTGACTAAAACGTTAGAAGATGACAACAAAAAAGAAAGAAAGAAAAAAAAAAACGACTACAGCCTCGCCTTCTAAACCAAAATTCACGGTGATCTCTAAGTATTGGTTAATAATCTTCTGCAAATCATCATTGACAAATCTATAGGTCGTCGAAATGAACAAAACAAATCAACACATATCAAGGAAGTCATAATGGAACGATAACAAGATGAACAAAACAAACGTATTCCAGCACATGCCGATGAGCGAGGACAAAATTGCACGAAAAATGGCAAAGTTAAACCATATTTTTTCCTTTGAAGAACGCAATTTTCGAAATTCAAAGGCATAATAGCAGCATCTTCACAAACTCTACATTCGCAATAAATAAACACACAGCACATGAAAAACCACATCGTTCATCCCCAAATTAACATAACAAGAGAAGAGAAGGCCATTACCACCAGAATACTCCGTCCTCAAAATTTCCAAAAACTGACAGGATCATCGTACGATTCGCCCAATTATTTAAATAAATAAACGACGAGATGTTTCATAAAACCATATTCGAAACACACGCACGATTGAAAATCATACAGCACGACCACGCAAGATCCGACAACCAAACAACGTCAAAAACCTCGAAAACGCGATATGATTTCAACTTCAGAAAAAAATCCAGCAAAATAACAATAAAATAATAAAGATAGAGAGAAGCGTACTCTGAACGCTGGAGAGGCGTTCAGGGGACAAGAAAAACGGCAACGGGAGAGCGCGAGAGCGAATTGTTACGTCGCCGGGGAAAAAAAATCCTCCGGAGAAGTTGAAAAGATGCCTTTTATGTTGTCTCTTCTGTCTCCCAATGGGGTCAACAATGTTTTCCGATGTTTTTGCAATTAGACCCAACGGTTTTCCGTATTTAGTTAGCCATTTGGATAATGTTTGTATGTGTGTTTAAATTTTAAATTTTATAATAATTTGATTACATCTTAAGCTTTCTTAATCACATTGGTTAACACTAATTTGTACTTCCACAAAAACTCAGTTAACAAATGACTTTTTTTTCTTTTCCTTTTCCAACAATAAGTTTTACAAACCTTAAAATAAGTACAGTCGAAGCCTTAATTAAATAGTTATGTTTGTTAGTTATTTTATTACAAGCTACTACGAACTAATAGTAAAGTCGTACCAATTTATATAAGAAACTATATTGTAGAGCTTAGTACGAACGGGAATAAAATTGAGATACTCTCTCAAGAACTGATAGAAAGTGAGATATTCTCTTAGGCAACTAAAATCTCTAATCGTTCCAATAGCATATAAATGAAAAGGAAAAATAAAACTTGCTAATCTTGCCCCATAAAAGATAATTATTTTCCTACCCCAAAATACTAATTACCTAAAGGAAATAAAATAAAAGAGTACGAATAATAATAAGACATCAAAACCGACTAGACTCGAAGACGGTCATATTTATTCAAATACGCAATGACGGTCTCGTCTTCACCACTATATACCTATAAAAAATCTATATTCCAAAACTTTCTTTTATATTTTATATAATTTTTTTATCATTTTATTTTTTTCAGCTCATTAAGCATTTTTTTATTAAAATTTAAAGTTGGTTAGTTATTTTTTTATGGTATAACCAAAAGCCTTAAAAATCATACACAATTATTGTACTAGTAATTTAAATATATGTTATATAATTAATTGGTCACGAATAATTACTCAAGATTACAAAAATTATATTATTGCAATCAATGTACATATATAATGATTCATATCTAAGATAAATTTATAGTTTATATTTACATCGTTTATTTTATTATGAAAAAAATTTATAAAAATTAATATGTTCATTATTTAAATTATGATTATAAATATTGTATAACATACACGTATAACTTACAAAAATTTGTTTGGGTCTATGTATGTGCAAAAAAAAAAGGTACGAGTTTATATTGAAGGGTGTATTTATAATGTTGGCTTTCAGACAGACTAGTATTCAACCTGTGCATTTACACAGATATAAATAAATTATTGTGAGTAGGTACATATAATGATTAATTATTTTTCTTTCACTTTTTTGCAGACCAAATTTACAATTAATAGAGTTGGAATATTTTTTTTTTAAAATTGCGTTTATCTGATTGGATGTAATGTATATTTTGGTACGTCTTTTATTTGTGAATTATTTATTATTTATTTAGGAATTTCAAATATATTTTTTATTTTCAAAAAAAAATTAAATGTAACAACAATAATAACATCTAATCACATTATATGGTCAACACATTATATGGTCAACTGTCATTAATCAAAAGTTTAAAGTGATTTTTGAAATTTTGAAATGATGAGTATTAATTATTTAATGATTAAATGAAAATTAAATACATCAAAATGTAACGGTTTTTGGAGGAAAAATTGTTAAATTGCCACATAGATAAAATTAAATAGGTTTTATTAAATTCTATTAGCTAGTAATTATATATATATATAGATATGTTCGTAGAATATCCATATGAATCGCCGATGGCGGGGGTGGGCTGAAATGGCCCGCCCCGCCAACCATCGTAAAAATCCCCACCTGATTATTCCAAAACAAAAGAGAGATAAACAAGAGTGTCGTCCACCGGATCTGTGCTGGGCAGGTTATACTCGACCTCTCGACCACATCGACGCGGGCGCCACCAGAGAAACCCTAAACCCCGCCGCTGGGAAGATTATTCCAAAACAGAGACTCTCAAAGAAAGGTTTGCTTCTAGGAGGGAATGTGCTTTTATGAAATTAACTAACTTGAGTAGTATATTGCGAACTTCCGTAGTGCTTTTATGGTGGAAAGTGCTTTTATCATTGGGATTCAGAGACTCTGTAAAAACAAACAACGTGAGTAGTATTGCAAACTTCCGTAGTGGTTTCGTAGTAGGGTTTGGGTCCGGATTTTGGGCCTTCTTTCTCGAAAGGTTTGCTTCTGTCAGCAAATACTCGTTGCAGCATGCTAAAACAACGCGGATGAAAACCTTCAAAAACTGCGAAGGTCTTTCTTTAAAATACAAGACTTGGTGGCCAATCTCGAAGAGCCATCGATGATCCTAGGAGATGATGCAGCTTGGAAGATATGGTACGCAGATTTGAGAATGTTGGCATATGATAGTGATCTTCTCCTAGATCGTATGTCTTTGGAGTATCGAGTAAATTTGATTGCTGTTAAGGAAAAAGATGTATTGGATATGTTGGCCTCCCTTGTTGATAGGATTTCTCGTCGGAGGTAATCCAAACTCAGGAGAAGTTTGACAAGTTGTTGAAAGAGTTAGATAGCCTGGTGGTGACAGCAACGGTGTGTAGAGGGTAGGAACCATGGAGGTTTGTGATTCGAGTTTGGCGAGATTCACAAGTTGGTGAGGCATATAGAATATAATAATAGTATTGTAGATATCTTGATCAACAAGGAGTCAGAACCCATCTTTTGTTGTCTGGTTGATTGGAATGGTCGGAATTGGTAAGACGACCCTTGTAAGAACCATTTTCAACGAGAGAACATGCTATGGATACACATTGGCCTCTATTTCGACTGGGTTAAAATCACGAGGTGTGTGATTGAGCAACTCACAAGTCGGGAGTGTAGGTTGTTGGATCTCAACACCTGCGAGTGTTAATTCACCGGAGGAGAGTTATGATCGTCATAGATGATTATTGAAGTGAGTCGCCGAGGACTGAAGCACCCTTACCCTTCACATCATTTGCTCCTGGTCGTCACGATTACTCGACTGCCACGAGCAAATGATGTGAAGGGCATCATAAGGGTGCTCCACTCCTCGGCGACTCGCTCCAATAATCATCTATGACGATCAGAACTCTTCTCCGATGGATTAACACTCGGGCAATGGCCTGAAGGGTGTTGAGATCCGACAACCTACACTCCTACTTGTGAGCTGTTCAATCACACACCTCGTGATTTTAACCAAGCCGAAACGGAGGCCAATGTGTTTCCATAGCCGGGCCTTGTTGAAAATGGTTCTCACAAGGGCCGTCTTACCAATTCCGACCATGCCAATCAACTAGACAACAAAAGATGGGTTCGATTCCTCGTTGATCAAGATATCTACAATACGATTCTTATATTCTGTACGCCCACCAACTTGTGAATCTCCATGGACGATGACGCCGAACTCAAATCACAAACCTCCATGGTTTCTAACCCTCTACACGTGATTCACTATTGCGATCACGTGATTCACTGTTGCGATCATGTGAATGATCTTGTCCATGTGTGGATGGCAGTGGGCTTCCTTTTGCCCGTCTGTTCAATGAGTTTAGAAGAAGTAGGTAGGTGATATTTTGAGGAGTTGCTATCGATTAGCTTCTTCCACAGTACGGACAACCAAGGCTTGTACACGATGCACGATTTTGCCCGGTTGGTTGCTCATGACGTGTGCTTGTATATGAAGTCTGATTCTCGTCGTCCATTATCGTTGGAAGGAATTTTCCATCTTTGCATGCTTCATGACAATCCTATACCTCTGTGGGCACCCCACAAGAACAAGAGCCTTCATGTTGTTCAATGCGGTCAAAAACAACCACACCGAGGTCACTGAGGTTTTTAATGACATGTTTTTGATCAGCACTTCATTGATGGTCCTAAGTTTGAGGGGCTGTTTTCTTAAAGACGCTTCTGAAGACTTCTGAAAATCTATATTTCTTGCGATTTCTTGACTTGTCGGGTAATCGGTTCGTTGTTCTCCCAGATGTCATATGCACTTTTCTAGCCTTACAAACACTGAGGCTGAGAGATTGCCCGACACTTAAGGAGTTGTCAGAAGACTTGAAGGATTTCACATTTTGCGGCATCTTGAGCTGGTATACCAGCTGCAAACTTTTGAGCATGCCTCTGGATTTCGGGGAATTGAATGAACTTCAGACCGTTACACTGTTTGTTATTTGTTATTGGCAGTGATGGATCTTCCATCAAGGAGCTGCCGGACATGAATAGCTTGCGGGGGCTTTTATATATAAAGGGTCTGGAGAATGTTCCTAATGTGGAGGAGTCTTTGGGAGCTAGAATGAGCATGAAGACTCGTCTAGAAACATTGGAATTGCAATGGAAACCTTTGCAACTCCATTTAGTTGTAGACGTCGAAGGAGAACGTGGAAGACAATTCGATGTCTTGGCGAGTCTTGCGCCTCATAGAGATTTAGAAGTGCTCGTGATAAAGAACTTCAATGGAGTAACACTTCCTGGGTGGCTTGGTGACCCTTGGCGATCATTTACGAAGATCAGACTTGTGGGGTTGCACTTCTGCACCAAACTCCCTTGGTGAGCTTCAGGCCCTTAAGATATTCTCGATTGTCGACTTGCCCAAGTTCGTAGAAATTGATGAGCCATTCTACGGCCCGGGTGAGGTTAAGTTTCAGTCGTTGGAATCGTTCGAGCTCAGAAATATGTCTGCATTGAAGAGGTGGGTTGATGTAGGCGACACTGCATTGCCCAATGTAATCACTTACAGGATAGAAAATTGCCCTATTCTGGATAGCTGGCCATTGAGGCTTGCTTCTGTTGTTTCCTGATGTCCAGAATTGCCCCAGTCTTGAAGCAGTACTACATTAAAAGGTTTGTCTCTCCTGCCTTCAAATCATGCTTTATACGATGTAGCAGTTGTTTGGATATGGAACTGATATTTGTGTAATCTTGTGAGCAGCGTTGATTATTAGGATATGTAAATGTTGCTCTGGAAAAATAAAAAGTACTAATAGATTCTGTTTACTGTGCTNCTCATGTTTATAATATAAGCATGTTCAGGGAACTTAATGAGTTAGTCTTATTCGTTTTTGCTGTCTTGTAGACCATCACTCTGTTTTGTGCTCTTTTGCAACAGGGTTATATGTTCATGAAGTATTTGGAAAACAATTTCTTCCTGATTTTCATCTTTTGTGCCAACCTGGTATCAACCATTTTTTTCTCACGTCGAGTTTGGTTCTTGTTTGTCTTTTGTCCTTAAAGCAAGTGTGAAATTTTTTGTGCTCCATGCACTGATGCTGAAATTGTTATGCTTCATGTGGTGATGCTTTTAGTTTTTCGTGTAAGGAAAAAAGTGAATGTCAAGCTTACATCCAGTATTTACTGTGGAAATGTTTCCTAGTTCTGGTGGATGCATTTTTTACTCAACTGTAGGGCCTTTATAGTGGTATGGGTTTTTTGTTGGCCTGCTACAGGGAAAATCAACTTTGTTTCAAATTGGAATTAGCTCTAGATTGTATACCAATTATGGTTCTCTTTTAATGCTGCCAATGAAGCTCTGTTTTTACACTGTTTTGTTTGGCATACTCTTTTTTGTTGCCCTGTATTTGTATGTATTTGTATATTAAGTTGAACTTCAGCCATTGAAACACGGCACAATACATTTCTACTTTCAGCTGATTATCTTGTGAAGTAGTTATTGCCGTTAGTTATCATTCTTTTATTCCTTTTTTCATCTTTGTTTTGCAGTGTTCTTTTGTGACTCAAGCTTTGCCAATGAGGAAGGTCCCATAGGCAGTAACATGTGTGCTTGCCGAGTTTTCCCCTTTTGACCTGATCTCTTAACATTTGGATATATTGTACCTTTTGTCGATTTGGTTCCCATCATTGCCAAATACTACTGGTGTTTCAATTCTAACATTGGTGCTGAAAAAATTGTGTAGCGGGTTATTGTAGTGACCGAGTTTCAACTGCTAGTGGTTTGTATCTCGACTTTTTCTGTGACTCTCATAGCTACATGTCGCTTTGTTGTTGAATTTTCATATCAATGTCTTAGCATATTTGACTAACAGTCACCTATTTGGTTGATCGATTTATGATGCTTTGGGATGCATTACTACAACAACAACAACAACAATAATATACCCAGTATATTCCCAATAGGTTGGGGTCTGGGGGGTCAGGTGTACGCAGACCTTACCCTTGTAATTATACAAGGAGCCTGTTTCCGTAGCAACCCAAGGTGCATTGTGCCGTTTGATATATTTTTTTTTTCTAGAAACTTCACTAATAGAAGAAGCACTAGAATTTAATTGAGTCATTTTGATCTAGTCCATTATTAGCACTATGCCAGGAAAATTGTCAACAATGACTCTTTCAGCTCCATTTGCAATGGACAATTTGGGATGCATTACTGAAGATAAAAAAATGTTTACAAATTTGCAGAGAAGGAAAGTTGTTCTTCTTAAGTCTTAGATTGCCCAGCTGAGTTCATGTTTTGTGTGTAATTGTGTGATCTGATGTTTTCAGGGTTTATGTGGTAATCTAAAGTCAGATTTAGTGTCACATATTTTGTCAAAGCAGTGAAATCCAGAGTTCTTAGTGAAACAATTAAAGCAAAATTTGGTTCATGTTCCCAATCATTTTTACAAACCTCTATTACTCTATGCATTTCACCTCGGTTGTGGAAATAAAATTTAAAAATGAAAATCTAGTTGATTCAATTATTTGCTTTGTAATGGTTATGTTTCTCAACTTGACTTCCTTCTAATTTGCACATTATTATAGATTTATAGTTACTGTAATTTGTTTCAACTGTCCTCTTTGCAAGGGGTTAAACAACCATAGACTAACTATACAAGTTGAGCAATTGCTAAAAATAAAAGAGACCCTTTTACACGTTTGCTACATTTTAAAGAAAAAAAAATCGAAAAATACGACCATAGTTATATATCAAAAATAATTCAATTTAGAATCCAATAAAAATTTGATCAACTAATCAACCATATAAAACAGTGAAAGTTAGTAGATCTATAAATAAAAAAATCATAAATATGTTAAAAAAAATTGTAGTTTGACGTTAGTAATTTTTCTAAATAAATTACCATAAAATACACCTTTTTTATTCTAAGTATTCAAAATCATACTCCAAGCTTTCAACTTGAAGCACTCTTACTTAATAAGCCATCCAAGCCCATTAATATCTCTAAGTAAGATAACTGGACTCCAACAAGATAATTAAGGGCCCACATACAGCCCAGTCCAACCCTCCTCCATATCTCCGGCAAATATCCATAACTGTCCTTTTGAACTGGTCACATACGAACTCAAAAGTACAAACACGTTCATATGCACTAAACAAGCCCTAAACAGAGCCCAACACAACCCTTTCTATGAAAATATGAAAATATGATTTGCAGATAGGTGAGTTTAGTCAAACAAAATCTTTTATATATATATATATATATCTATATAAATGAAATCCAAATCCCAAAAAAAACTGAAAACGTGCATGTATGGAATAAAAACAATTCAAATACCTGCATGAAAAAATTTTAAATTAAACTTTAGGAGGGAAAACAGCTTTTAAGCGGGAAATTGAAATATTTTTTCAAACATTTTTTCTTCTCGGTATAAAAATTTTATAGTAATAGATTTAAGCTATGCTAGATTTATAATATAACTTGCTCAAATAAAACAAAAACGTTAAAAAAGTTATAATTGTGGTGAAAATGCCGTGACGTTTTCTTACAGCACCCTTAATTTACGGTATATGCGTACCCTTTAAATTCGTCCAAGATTTTTCACACTTCTTCTAGGGTTTTACAAAGCTTCCGTCTTTCTTCCGCTGATACCAAAGACCTCTCTTTTATCCGCGAGCCCTAAAATCATGACTCAATCACAAGAAGAATTGTTGGCCGCCCATCTCGAGCAGCAGAAGATCGATGTAAGCTTTCTCTCTTACAGCCTAAACACACATACTGATTTTCAAGTTCTATATTTTGTGCTTGATGGAACTTTATTTAGGTTTTTCAAGCTTCTTATTGTTCTTAGATGTAATTTTTGGATTTAGGGTTGTTGATTTTGTTTACATTTTCACTTTTTTGGGAAATTCGAAATAGAAATTCGATTATTATTTAATGTAGACGAAATGATTAATAATCAATAATTTGAGAATTTAAACTTGGATTCATCAGAATCATTTATAATAATGTTTACTCAGTGTTTAGTGATTCTGTTATATGCAAGCTGGGGATTTCAATTTGAAACCATTTGTTAGTAATGTTATACTTCTTTGAAGAATCTATTTTCAACAACTTTTTCAAGTTCTGTTTTTTAACCTTTTTATCCCTTGTGGAATATTGCTCAAACTTGGATGACCTTGACTGAAAAAAAACAAATCTTAATATAAATTAGTAACTTTCTCAGTGCTTGATGTAAAAAATTTAAGTTTTTTCGGATGGACAAGGAGAATTGCTCAAGCATGAATTGATTTTTCTTTCATTTCCATTAATTTAAGTATGTTTGCTCAGGATGTTCTTAATTTCTTGTTCTGTAAATTTAACTAGTCCAGAAAACAAATCAAATGTGAATAAATTCTTGTACGCATTGTTCAGACATGAGTATCGTAGTGTGAAAGAGTCATGAAAGTTGGGAACTTGTTTGGTGTTTCCCTACATTTTTTTGATTATGGTTCTCATTCTTATCCATCTTATTTACTATGAAGGCTTATATTTGTCATTAATAATTGCCTGCAGCATGAAGAGCCGTTGGTCGAGGATGATGACGATGATGACGAGGATGATGATGAAGATGATGCTGAAGGTATGTTGATACTCGAGTCTGGGCCCCCTTTATCATCAATATTTGCAGATTTATCCTTTATTTATTTGCATTGGTGGTACTTGAGACTAATTAATGGATCCTAGATATTTGGTTATTTGAGTGGAACCGTATCATATTCATGGGTATGGAAGATACATGTCTCGGTCTAAAAAATGGATGAGTATTATGACTTTATTAGATGATACTTGTACTTTTAAATCGGATCTTGATGTACTTATTTACAAAACATGATAAGAATGTAATTCCAGTGTTCAGTCTAGCGATAACCTGTATGTGTGTGAGCAACTTATAAATAATTGTACTTTTGATTCAACTTACCTCCGATGGTGTTTCGTATCATAATTTCTCTGTTTCATTGTCGTGTTAGAAGTTATGTTACTTTTACAAGTGAATACTTGATAAGGTTGTATTTGCCTTCTTCTTTTGTCAGGACAAGAAGATTCCAGTGGCAGGTCAAAGCAAAGTCGAAGTGAGAAAAAGAGTCGAAAGGCAATGCTAAAGCTAGGAATGAAAGCCATTCCTGGGGTCAGCCGAGTCACTGTTAAGAAGAGCAAGAATGTTGGTTTTTTCTCTCACAATATCTCTAGCCTTTATGTATTTACCACTTTCTGAGCAAATACCATCCACGGATTAAGAGTCCTTTTTAACGTATATGGATTACTAAATAAGTAAGGCTAATTCTAACTGAGTTAGTTATAAAAACACCCCATCCCAACTTTTTTTATTTCACAATTTTATGCTTTTACTAAAACTTTAAACAATTGGTATTAAATGCTCCAGCTTTCAGTTTCATATCAAAAGCAGCCTCAGATTGTTTTGTCTACATGTTTTGTTCTTGTTTTGCAATTATATTATCAAACTTCACCCTATTTTCTAAATAGGTTCCTTCAACTTACTGTTTCACTCTTAAATGCTTTTCTTTCGAACAAATACTTCCATTTTACTTTTCAAAAACAGCTTAAATTTAATTACTCTCTAATTTTGATATATAGTTTGGATGATTGAACTTGATGAGCATTATCCCCTAATGAACACCAGAAACAATGCATTCAACTATTTTTTTTTTTTTTTCATTTTATCTTTTTCAGATCCTTTTTGTCATCTCAAAGCCAGACGTGTTCAAGAGCCCAAACTCAGACACGTACGTAATATTTGGGGAGGCGAAGATCGAGGACTTGAGCTCTCAACTACAGACACAAGCAGCCGAGCAGTTTAAGGCTCCTAATGTTGGCAATGTGGTGCCAAAACCCGAGCCATCGAGCGTGCCACAGGATGATGATGAAGAGGTTGATGAGACAGGTGTCGAGCCCAAAGACATCGAGCTTGTGATGACTCAGGCTGGGGTATCCAGGGCTCGGGCAGTCAAAGCTCTCAAGGAAGCAGATGGAGATATTGTCTCTGCCATTATGGAGCTCACGAATTAGCAAAAGCTTTGTCTCTGTGGTGTTTTTTTTAGAAATTTGACGGGGATCTGAAGTTGGTTTCGATTGTTTTGGATTTCTTACTTTGTTTTATGTGGATTTCTGGATTTTACTTGTTGATGGGTGTACGATAAATAGCTTGCTGGATTTTGTTCATTCAATTCTCTGCATATGGGTCTATTTCTCATAGAGTTTCGCTAGAAACTCTTTATGCTGGATGTTTTTCGTTGTTGTTTTATGCTGGATTTGTTGTTGTTTTATGGTGTATTTTATGGTTGCTTTTATCCATGTATGTATAAAGTGATGAATCTTTAGCAGAAAGTATCACCAGCCATCTGAAAGTAAGGTGCCACATTGAGTTCTTGGTGATACTAACTACTGGGTATTGACGAACACTATTTTGGTAAAATTAGTTGAAATAAGAATTTCAACAGAAAGCGCTTATAAATTAATAAAATAAGCTACAAGCTATTTGATATGCTTACCAAACACAACTTCAAATGAGACTAAAGAACAAGGATTTTCTCAGATACTGTGGACGGTACAACAAGCTGAGGATTCAGTTGACAGAAAGAAGAATCACAACAATTTCATTCACAAACGAAGCCAGCAATTTCATTCATTCACAATACAGTACACAAGTTCTTCATGCTTGTCAGACTGAAACCAGCAATTCCATTATCACAATACACTACACAAGTTCTTCCTGTCAGTCAGCACGAAATTTGTCCCAACGTCCCATTTTTATTCCTCCAAAAACAGATGAAAATCACAAATCACGAGGACTGTAAACTAAANAAAAAAAAAAAAGAAAAAAAAAAAACCCGAAAAGAACACAAAAAAGCCGTATCCAAAAAAACCTTATCAATTATTCAAAAGGCCAATTTGTTGCATACCCATTGTAGTAGTGACTATCTTGACGATACGCAACTGGGCTACTACGTTCGCCAGTCTCGTTACTACTCGAACCCGATCTAGACGAACCAAATGGCCACAAAAACGACCATCTTTTCCTCCTTCTCCTCCTATCACAATCTTCTCCCGTGCCCCGACCTATCAACACCTGGCGACAAACTGGACACGAGCCCCTCTGCTCGAGCCACGGCACTATACAATCCGAGTGGTACAAATGCTTGCATGGGAGCTTCTTCACACGAGACCCCACCTCGAAATTCTCCTTGCACACAGCGCAGCTCGTCTCTTCCCGCACGTGCTTCCTCTCGATCTTCACCGTCGGCAAAGAATCGATCGACGATCTCGAAGCCGGCGGTGGGGCCCGCTGCTGCTGATTGTCGTCGCTGTTGATGGTGACGTTCTGAAAAAACTCCTCGACTCCCGGCCCAATAAAATAGTCCCCTCCGTTTTCCCGCCTGAACCCTAGAGTCTCGTTGAGGAAATCCAACATCCCGCCATTGCCGCCGGGCATTCTCGCCGGAATGTCGCCGGTGAAAACGAGAAACGAGCTCCACGAGTTGCTGTTTAAAGGAGGCGGGTTCCGGTTAGGGTTTCGGGCAGACTGTTGCCGGAGGAAATTGGAGATGGCTTCCATGAAACGAGGTCGCTCGGGCAGGTCCTGGGCAGCGTTGGGACTGACCGAGAAATCGAGTTCTTGAATGAAACCGCCACCACAATCGGGGCAAGTTACGGCTCGATTTTGCAGTGTGATCGTGTCGTCGCAAGTGTAACACCAATGAGTGCTCGTCTCCACCGACATTTTTTATCTTCTTCTCTCTATCTATCTGTCTATCTATCTATCTAGCTTTATTACTCTGTACAGAGAGAGAACTGAAAAACACAACTAGCACAAAATCAATGATCCAATCATCAATCAATTACCTCGGAGAAAAAGAAAAATGGCATTCCACAAGGAAATGTATGACAAAAACAGTATACTTGGTGAAAAGCTATACAATATTTGAAGTGTAAGCATATAAAGTCCCAAACTTGAGACCCAAAAAGAACATTTACAGATGAAATTTAGGACACAAACAGTATAATTGGTGAAAATCTATAGAATATTTGCAGTATGAGCACAAAAACTCCCAAACTTGAGACCCAAAAAGACCATTTACAGCAATTACCAGTAAACAAGCTCAGATGGGGTTTGAGTTTGACAATACAAAGGCGAAATACACGAGAGGTTTCTTTAAAAGCAAGATTGATCAAATCTGAACATCAAAACAAGAATCAAGATTCCATTTTTCCACCCCCAAGCCAAAACCCACCACCACACACAATAGGAAATAATCAATGCAGATTTTCACTATCCCAATAGATCAATCATACCAGTAAACATATAAAGACAACAGCTTTAAGCAAAAGAAAAATGGAAAAATTAACAAAGAACTAAAAGGAAGGGAAATGGATGCGATGAGGTAGAGAATGTAGATACCTCTGATCTGGTGGGTAAACACGACAAGAATAGAAAATTCCCAGATGGAGGAAATGCATAGATAAAGCTAATTAATGCATTATTTATGGCCGAGGGAATCTTTTTAGCACAATGAGTGCTTTGAGAGTGAGAGATAGAGGTTAACAGTTAACACATGACATAGCTGAGTTTTTTAGTTAATAAAATTGAAGTCTTTAACAGAAGTGTGACTCAGAGAGTTAGTGCTGTCCTTATCTGGCACCTTCGTTGGGAGATGGGGAGGAGGATTGGGCTGGGCCTGGGCTGTATTTGGGCCCTGAACTTATCTTGTTGGGAGTCCAACTATCTTACTTGGACATATTAATGGGCTGGGATGGCCCAATAAGTAAGAGCACTACAAGTTGAAAGCTTGGGGTATGATTTTGAAGACTCGAATAAAAAAGTTGTACTAATGTAATTTATTGAAAAAGTTACTTCCTCTACCTGCAAATTCTTTTCTATTTATATATTTGTGATTTATTTATTTATAAATTTACTTTCACTACTATATAGATGGTTGATTTATAGATATTTTTTTGGATTCTAAAGTGAATTGTTTTTATTTATAACTCGTGTACAAATTACAATAACGTGCAAATTAGAAGGAAGTCAAGTTGAGACACATAACCATCACAGAATAAATAATTCAATCAATTAGACTTTTACTTTTTAATGTTTATTTTCATAACCAAGGTGAAATGCGTAGTGATAGAGAGGATAGAGAACATGAACCAATTTTGCATTAATTTCACTATAAACTAACTCTGGATTTTATCGCTCAAATAAAATATGTGAAACACATAAATCTGACTTTTAGATTAAATAAAAACACATAATGACAAACAAAACGTATCCAAATTTAGCAAAGGAAACCAACTAGACAAAAAAGGTATAACATATCCAAATTTAGCAAAGGAAGAGATCAGGTGAAAAGGGGAAAACTCGGCAAGAACATGAGTTTCTGCCTCTGGGATCTTCCTCATAGGCAAAGTTTGAGTCACAAACGAACACTGCAAAACAAAGATGAACAAAAGAATTGACTGAAAACTAAAGGCAACAACTACTTCACAAGATAATCTGCTGAAAGTCGAAATGGATTGAGCCGGGCTTCAATGGCCGAAGTTAAACTTAAAATATACAAATACAGGACAAGGAAAAAGAGTACACCAAACAAAATAGAGTAAAAACAGAGCTTGCCATAATTGGTATGCTATCTGGTATTGGGCCAAATATCCCAATAGATGATTATTACATGATTAGTTACAGTCTCTAATTCATGGTGTAATTAACTTGCAAATGTGGATGCTATAGACATGAAAAGGCACCTTAGCTGATATGATCTCGTATCAAGATTTGCGTTACTTCAAGCAAACGCGAACTCCTTGAGTCGAAACTCTTTTTCTTATATATTTCTCATAATCTAAAATAACAAGATAGCAACATATTTATATCTAACCCTAAGAATATCTAAGAGACCTAGCTTAGTAGAACTCACACATATGGAAATAATATAATACTATCAAGAGGGAAATAAATAAATAAGTAACAAGCCTAAACATAAAATACGACCCGAGCCACTTCAATCCTTCATCGCCAATTGGGAGCTCGCCGTTCACGCTGAGGTCGGTGTGCCGGGCTCAGCTGCCTTTTGTTCGTAGCATTAGCTTAGCGTGAATAGACTATCAAGTTTCCGACATAATCTTATAAACGCTACCTTTAGTTTACAGTTATTGACTGAAAAACAGAGATTGTCTATCATTTCCCCTGTCAATTCAAATATAATTCTTTGCGTTAAAGAGATTTGTAGTAGCAAGTAATTATAAACTTAATTTTGTGTGTGTTATTGTCCTGAAAAAGCCAGATTCTCTTCTCAAATACTATGCCTTGATGTAAAGGAACTAAAAATTCATATTCCCTAATAATTATAAGTAATTGAAATCCATAAGCAATATTTTGACAAATCAAGAGATTTAAGACATAACAGGAGAGTAACTACTTCCACAGCTTGAAATAATTTGAAACAAAAAAGCAACATTTGAAATAGAGCGAAGTTGGGCCCTTTTGCATATCAAATTATCAAGTTGAGCCAAAAAATTTGGACTAAATTAGGTGTCCCATTACCTACCATGTGAGGACTCCTGTTTAATGTACATAACACCTCGAAAAAGCCCAAAATATAGAAGCACGAAAACAAGAGAATTCATTTAAGGATTAAATA